ACATTTTTCTAGTTCATCATTTTCAAACTTTTCCTTACAGCTCTCACAAACTACATCATCTGCAACATATTTACCATCTGTTTTAATACAAGCTACTATTTGATTAACAGACTTATTATCCTCTTCATAAAGATTAGAACAAAAATCGCAAGTTTTTTGACTTGTTCTTTCTAAATCTAAAAGCATGTAAGTTAACTCTCTCATTAATTATCTGTTCACTTCTATTCTAGCAACTAACTCTTGGATTTGGTGTTTTTTGTTCTCTATCAATTGATTGAATTTAGTTTTTGTCTTTTCCTTAAATAATTAATTCCAAGAGGCATCCCAATTGGAGAGAGGTTTATTACAAGACAAAAGATAGTTTCACCCGGGTGGATTATGTTATAAAAATTATATTTTATTATTATTGAAGAGGTAGATTACAAGTGAATATTAGAATCTTTGATTCTGATGTGAATATAAACCAAAGATGTAGAGAGAGAGAGAAATCACTTCTCTATTTATACATTTTCAAGAACTGTGACTGATGCTTATGATTGCTTACTAATTCTAATTAATAATCTTATATAACTATAATTTTACTATTTTAAGAAATAGTTAAATAATATATGATGATAATGCCTATTTAAGCTATATAATATTATAAATTAAGATAAGGAAATATTAAAATATTTAATTATTAACTACTGATATACTTAGATTAATTGGAGGTTTGGATTTTCCTTGTTTCACCAGTCCACAGTATCAATAAAATCATCAAGGTTGGTCATATTATCAAATCTTGAGATGGTGGCAACTTTTTGTTTCAATATCATTTGAAATTATTGGATAATTGAATATAGTCAAAGATTCAGAATCCATCTCTACAATTTCTCTGTCATGCATAATTTTCTTTATCCACCAATCAATAAAATTCAATGCAGCAATACATGGTGTTGTACCATATTCTGAACAAGAATCTGTTGGAGGTATAATTAACCAATGTAGTACATCTGGAAAATATAAAAAAAATTTGCGCATATCAATCATAAGTTTAATAATAAAAAAGTGTAAAACTTGCATCAGCACTGTAAGACTTACATGATATTATGTCAGTGTCATAAGGTTTATGCAAGTTTACACTAAATTAATCTCCTGATGTATTGCATTATCTTTATTTCTACCAATCCATGAAAAATTCCAACTGTCATCTAAATTGGTTAGAACATGTAATGTTACATATGTAGATTTCATATGAGCTGAAATTAGCTGCAGTGCAGATTGCACCCATCTGTTGGAATCAACCTTTTTGATTTCAATTAAAATAAATGCTGTTTTAACATTATCCACTCCAAATCTACTTATAAGCACATCAGTTCATCCATGTGCAACTAAATTTTTGGTTCTAATTAAAGACTAGTGCCGTAATCCAAAAAAGGAAAAAGTATGGTTGCAAAAGTGGTTGCAAAGGTAATTGCAACCACTTTTTATATGTCGTAAATACAATTACTACCATCATCATAATTTACGGCACTAGTCTTTAGTTCTAATATCAAACAAATCTCCTCTAGATGTATCTATAATATTTAGTACCTTTGGTCATACCTTAAAAATTTTTTTAATATATTCCATATAATGAGTGATACATTCATCTTCTCTAGAATCAAATTTGAATCCAATACCTTCATTTACATTTACAGCAAATTTTTCCCAATCAATGTTTTTGAAATCCTGATTAAACTCAATCTCTTCTGGACCTTCAATGTTGTAATCTTTCATGAATCTATTAAGATGTTTTCTTGTTGCTTTTGAAAATTGGATAGTTTCAGTATGCTAACCAGCCATTTTTCTTTTGAGATCTGAAATCTCTTTAACTTCAATTTTTTCTTCAACTCCTTCAATTTTTTTGATTATAACTTCCATAGTTATTTCATCATCTTTTTTTTTTTTAAACAAAAAATAAATCAATTATTATGAATGCCAAGTTTTGTAATAGAAATAGAAATTTTCGGACTATATACAAAAAAACCAGTGCAAGGAAAAGGATAAGTTGACAATATATACTTACCTTGTATCCCTAAAGATAAATGATAGTTGGCAACAGGAAGTGGAGGCAAAAAAACAAAATTTCAAGTAATAAAGAATGGGAATCAGAAAATGTAAAAATATCTTCATAGGGCATTTCAAAGTGACTAACCTGTTGATACACCAAGAGGAAGTTTTGCAAATTTATTTTTCTGTGTGTTGGAAATTGACTAATTAATACCCAAACCAAGTGTTCAGTATTACCCATTCAAAGAGTAAATTTGGTTATCACTTACTTTATTTTCTGATCTTATTAGCCTATAATTACTTATTGATTGTTTGTAATTTGTTTCTGAAGTAATTGTAAAAAAAAAAAAATGATAATATTGGTTAGTGAACTATATATATAGTTCTTTGATTTTTTTCACTGATAATACTTACTTGCTACTAACTACAAATACTTCTTCATTATTTTGTTTTTTTTGTTGACCTGATTGATTTTTCTTTTTTTTTTAGAAAAACAATTTATTTTTTACAAGACAAGAAAATGTAAATGTTGTTGTTGTTTGGTATGGCTGGTTCTAAAGAAGACAAGGTGTTATTTATTAATAGTGAGAGATATACAATTTTTTATTTATGTATATATATTTTTTTGTATCTTTTATTTTGTATAAATATTATTGCAAAAACAATTTGTGGTGCAGAACTTGTATTTCAGTCAGGATTATTACCAAATATGGAATTTCCAATTACTGTAAGGATAGACAATCTAGAAATCTTTTAGAAAAAAACAAAACAAAAATGATTGGCTAATTTTATGCAGATCTTTTCTTTGAAAAAAAATTAAAAAAATTGATAAATAAAATAAAATAAAAATAATGCTTTTTTATGAAGAAAACGTGGCAAAAGCTTTATTAAATGGTCATATAACCCCCAAAATTTATGTATTACATTTATTTTTAACTGCTTTACGAATCTATCAAAAAATAATCAATAGCTTCAAATTATAATCGTAAAATTACCATAAAAACACAATAACTTTTTTCATAATACTGACAAAATGTTTGAGTTATCAACCTGTCATTGTTATTAAAATTAATAAATAGTATCATGAAATATATTATAGTTATAAATTAATTTGTAAGCTTTTTTTGGTATAAATAAAGTCTATGTCAAATATATATATTACTTCCTATCATTAATTCACTATTATAATTGTTTTCATCATCACTTGTAAATAATTCTAATATGATTAGAACTATAAAAATATGAATAAATTATTGAGAATTTGTTACATCATTTAATTTTGTAAAAGCACTTTGAATAAATATTTAACAAATGGTTTTAAATGATCTTTACTTTATTCCCTATTGCATTTAACATATTGATTCTCTGAATATTTCTCAGTGCAGCAAGTGCAGTTGATCTTGACATTTTACCACTAAAGTTCAAAGAGAAAAAAAAAACTTAAAATTTAAACTCACATCATTTAAATTTCTTTAAATTTATGTAAAGGCTTACTTTGAACAAATTAGTGGGTTTTTGTAGATTTTAGTAGATTATGAAAAGACAAGTTCAATACTGCTTATTTTGATTATTATTATAATTTAAAAAAAAAAAATTTTCAAAAGGCAGCAAAGTATCACGTTAACTCATTCACCACACATAATGAATTGATTGACAAAGGAGTTCCAATTTTTCTAGATTCGATTTCCAAATTTGGTAATAATACTGACTGTGTTTACGAGATTCTTTATCATGATAAACAATTGGTATCATTTTTGCTTTTCTTAATCAACATTAATAATATTAATATTAAAATAATAATAAAATGTCAAGGTGATATAAGGAAGGGAAACATTTTGATATGCGACATTTTCATAATTGTACACTTCACAGACATCAAGGCACATATGTTATCTTGTCACTTACAGTCATTCTCACACATTCCTCATGTACACAAGGCCAATTTGACTGCACTGCCCCCATGATTTGATGATGCAATTAAATTCCAGAGGGGGGTAATGCTCTGGAATTTATCAAGATTACATCAATGTCAAGGACACTTTTGTGAATCCTACCTCATCTTTCCTCATACTGCTGAGCTGGTATTACTATATATGCATGCTAGTGATGATCATACCTCTAGGGTAAAGGTGGCTGGCTATGCAACTAAAAATCTGGAGTTGTTGCAGCAACCTGAGTTGAAGAGTTGTAACATTGGTCCGAGGAAAAGATTAGGGAAATTTTTGCCCACCTTGAAAAACCTTCCAACATATTTTCACCTTACCTGTGGAAAATTTTTCACAGTTATGAGGCATGTGAAAGCACCTGTTGATGTGTTTGTGACAGGAAGTTTTATTAAATCTGACACCTGTAATTAATGTCATCAGATTTATTATTCATAAGGAGCTGTACAATTGAAATTTTTTTTTTGAATCATCCTTATTTATTCTTGTTGATCCCAGAAACCTGGGTAGACACGCATTATTAAAGGTTTCATTTATGAATGGCCTTGGTGTTATTACTACTCGGGTGATGCAATTGTTTGTTATGCCAATTATAACATCAAATATATTGAATAAACATTGAAATCATCATGAATATATAATGGATGCATGTATTCACATATATGGGGAAAGGATTAAATAACAACAAAAAGCTAAGTCATGTTTATATTTAAAAGTTATTATTTTATTCCACTCTTGCAATGAAAGGTATTATTCTGAAATCATTTGTTTATTTAGCATTAATGATTGAATCAATCACACAGGTGGTAGTCAATTTAAATGGCATTCATTTTTTTAAATGTGTAAAAGATGTTTTTACAATAATGATTTTAATATTGTAAAATTTTTTTTGATGAATGTAAATCTTTATTAATATTAATAAAAAATCAGGAAACATGAAATTTTGCACATAATTATTTTTCATGGGCCAGTTGACCAAAATTTTCAATTTCTTCATAAGTTACTGAACAATCATACTTTTTAAATCATTTACTTAAACCTATTTCACTGATTCATCTAAGATTAATTCCATTCATATACTTTCCTTCAATCTTAAAGCAATTATAAAAAACTACAAAGTAAACATAAAATTATAAAATTATATATATATAGGAATAAGTGTATATGAAAAATATTAACAAAGATAATAAATACAATGGTTCTAATGAATATCAAAAGCAATTGATTTTTTAGAAAAAGGTTGTGGTTGTGGTTGTTCTTCAAAAATTCCCAAGGAACAATTTGCAGAATTAAGGGAATCCTTTCAAGCACTTTCCAAGTCTGAACAAGACATATTTTTAATGGCCCAACTTAAGGCAATGGATGGTGGATCAATAAGTACTAGTAGATGCCTTAAAAAGAAAACCAGATCTAATAAAAGAACTTTCTATCAATGGGATCACAA